CTCACCCCAAAAAAAAAAAAAAAAAAAAAGGGGAGCAGAAAAACTGTGTAATGGCCTTGCAGTTCATTCCATTTTTCTGAACGTTTCACCAGTAAAAACAATCATATTATGGCCTATTCTTGTGTGTATACCGCTGCCAGTCTGAACTTTACTCCACGCTCCTCATCAGCTCGTCGCAACCCCAAAGCCCCGCAAATTCGAAAGCTAAAATCCCAGAAGTATCCTACTAATCGTCGACCGCCGCCATTTTCTTCTGGCGGTGAAGCCACCACCTTCACACGCCTCCCTCCTAAAGATGACTTCTTTATTGATTCCCCTTCACAGTCCCTGGCTGAGACAATTAAGCTGTCTGAATCTGAAACACCTGCAGCCACTAGAACACGGAAATTTTATAAGAAGGGAGGGGAAAAATCTGGGTTTGGTTCAAGAAATGGTGAAGTTAAGGAAAATGCAGGTTTGAGCGATGAAAGATTCGAGCTTTATGAGGTTAAGGATGGCTCTGATATTGGAAATGTTAGTGAAAGATCAGATTTTGATTACGGAAAATTTGAGCTTTATGAAGTGAATTCGGATTCGGAGTTTGAAAATGATGATTTCGATGATGTAGAAGAGGAAGAAATATTGGGGTATAGAAGTGATGGAGTTGAAGAGGAGGTGATTAAGGAGAAAGATAAAGGTTTGCCAGCTGTGATGAGGTGTTTTGATCGGGCGAAAATATATGTGAAAGCCGGAGATGGAGGGAATGGTGTGGTAGCATTTAGAAGGGAGAAATTTGTGCCATTGGGGGGGCCATCGGGTGGGGATGGGGGGAGGGGAGGAAACGTGTATGTGAAGGTGGATGGTTCGCTGAATTCCTTATTGCCATTTAGGAAGAGTTTGCATTTTAGGGCAGGGAGAGGGGCACACGGGCAGGGTCAGAAGCAGAATGGAGCAAAGGGTGAGGATGTGGAGGTGAAGGTGCCTCCAGGGACAGTTGTAAGGGAGGCTGATGGGGATGTTCTCTTGGAGTTATTGTATCCAGGTCAGAAGGCATTGTTATTGCGTGGAGGGAGAGGTGGGAGGGGGAATGCATCGTTTAAGTCGGGAATGAATAAGGTGCCCAAAATAGCGGAGAACGGGGAGGAAGGGCCAGAAATGTTTGTATTATCATTTTCAGAATCTCTCTTGAATTGCACCTTTATTACATACTTGTTACATTTTTTTGTCATAACCATCACGTTGTGACAGTTTGCACATTCCAATTATTATACTATTGGTTGATTGCTTAAGGGATTTGCTTCGTTGTTTTCATGTTTTGCTGTACTGTGATCCTATAAAGTTAGCTATCTAATCAGTGGGTCTGCAAATTACTATAGTGAAGGAAACTAATATCTCCTCTGTGGGAGAGTGCTATATGTATGTCACCACTTTCAATATTTTGGCCAGAGGGAATACACTTTCTAAGGGAACTGCACTTTTGCTGCAGAAGGTTCAATTAATTTTTTGAAAGGTGCAGAAGGTTCAATTATTTTTTAAATCTATCTTTAGTCATAGATACCAATTAAATAGGTTAAGTATCATAAGGTGCTATACTAGCATTATGGATATTCAAATTTATAGCGATACATACCCGTGTTAGTAATTTAGTCTTATTATAAAAGGATTTGAGATACGGTACTGCTTCTTGAGTTGGAGTTTTGGTGCGAAAGAGGTTAGATAAAGGCCTTTCTTCGCGGATATTAATATCTGCAAATGGAGAGAAATTCTTGAGTCATTTTTGGATCTATCCTTGTATAGCATAATGCCGACTAGTATGACCATGGTTTCGAAGGAAGAAGTAACTACTTAAGCCTGACACCCTTTATAATCTTGATCGGAACGGGTGTTAAGAATTCACAAAAGAACAAATGTATCTGCTGAGAATTTCTAAGCTTTTATTATTTCACCTTGGATTTTTGTTACAACATACACCACATGGGTCTAACATCATCCGATAAAGCTAGGTACATTGGATGGTTGAACTGAAAGAATATGAAGAAAATTGTCTGAGTTTTATTGGAAGAATGGAAACATAGTTTGTCACTTCTAATGCTTTTTGACACTTTCAGTTTTCATCTTTTGGACCAACAATGAACTTGGAATAACTCCTAGATAATTTTGTCTGATTTGGTGAAAGAAGTGAGATTTCCTTATCTCAGGCTCTTGAACACCAGACTTATTGAAAGCTATAATAGAAAAATGATAAATAAAAAATTATTAGAGCCTGAATTAGACCCACAGAACCTTCTGGTTAGTGATATATTTGCACTTGAAGGTTATACACAGGGTGAAGGCTTTACAGAGTCATTTTGGGATAAGAAAACCATTTAAAGCAATTTAACAGATAGATATATAGGAAGTGAGGAGATTTAATTCTTTACAAGTAAAGAGAACGAAGACTGTTAACCGAGGAGCCAAATTTATTCGGTCTAAATTCTAAACTTCTTTTGTTGTTTGTGGTACGTATCTTCATAGTATCCTCTATGGCTTTAACTCTCTGAAGTTATCCCAATAGTGGCACAATTCTCTTCAATATCATTCCCGTTGGAATCATAATTTATATATGTAGGACAGTTGCAATGGTATAGCATATATGCTTGAAATTTTTTCCGAAGTATGATAACTTGTCATGATCACTGGATCTTTTAGCTGAGGGCCTTTCATTCTGCTTTCGGTTCCAAAATTTAGTTTAATTTTTTCCAGAACAATTCTTTAACTCAAGTTAATGATGTTTCTGGCCAGATGGTTGGAATTGGAGCTGAAGCTGGTTGCAGATGTTGGAATAGTGGGAGCTCCTAATGCAGGGAAAAGTACATTTCTCAGTGTTATAAGTGCTGCTCAGCCAGCCATTGCAAACTATCCCTTCACAACTCTGCTCCCAAATCTCGGTGTAGTTTCATTTGATTATGATGCGACAATGGTTGTTGCAGATTTACCTGGACTACTCGAAGGTGCTCACACAGGTTTTGGACTAGGGCATGAGTTTCTTCGTCACACGGAGAGATGTTCAGTTCTGGTAAGGTCTTTCTCTATTGCAGTTTTTTTGGTCTTGAAATTACGAAAACTTTGAGATTAAAGAATTTCTTGCGTGCAAGAATAGTTCTAAATCATAAGTTGGTACACTGAGAAATGTTTGTTTCCGGTGAAATCTAACACTATTGCAGTTGATTTGATCTCAAAATTACAAGAACCTTGAGGTTAAAGTTCTCATTACAAGAATACTCCGATAAATAGATAAGTTGTGCATGATGAAGTCTTTATCCTTGTTTTTTGCTTCATATTCTCTTTTCATTGTCAAAGGGTCTTTCTTTTAGGTCCTTATGGACATATATTTATGAATAACTTGTATTAAAAAAAGAAGAAGATATTATTGCAAACTGAGTGTAAGTTTTATTATGGAGCTTAGGTGCATGTGGTTGATGGTTCATTGGAGCAACCGGAATACGAGTTTGATGCGGTTCGCCTTGAGCTGGAAATGTTTAGTCCTGAAATTGCAGAAAAGGCTTACATAGTGGTGTTTAATAAAATGGATCTACCGGAGGCATATGAAAAATGGCCATCATTCAGAGAAAGGTTAAAAGCTCGTGGGATTGAACCTTATTGCATGAGTGCTGTGACTCGAGATGGTACACAGGAAGTCATATATTCTGCTTATGAACTTGTTCGGAAAAACAAGGAAGCCAAAGAAGAAGAAGGTTTGAATTACTACTCAGTTCCTCTTAAATATTTATTGTATTCTTTGTTTGTTGTTCCTCGTTCGTCAAGAAACTTGATCCAATGCAGGTTGAAGTGCCTAGCTTGAGAACCAAAGAAGTGTTTGTGATCATTTCAGATGAAATAATAAGGAAGAAGAAATTATCAGAATCCTTTTATAATTTGTGATATTTCCTTGAGTTATTCTTGATTTCTTTCCCCAATATCTTCTCAGATTCTTTCATTTTTTTTCTTTGTATCTTCTTAATCTCTCTTCTTATAACACCTAAACTAAAATCCATCTTCCAAGTACAAATATTTCGTTCCCTGAAAAAAATTAGTTAATTCAATTCAACCTTATTATCTGAAGACCATGACATCAGAATAACAGAAAGTCCCAAAACATACAAATAGCTATGTAAAGGGGAAAAAATGATTTGCACCCTAAAGCCTTTACATATCAATTTATAATCAATTAGACCTTTTGCACAACCCTCTGTCCATTGATTTAAATTAAGACATGCCCTTAATTAAATATTTTAACGCTTTCCTACATAGATTTTCTATCAATGTTGCGTATTACTTGTTTCCCATTACTCTTGATGTTCAAAAATGTAGGAGTGGGCATTTTGTCTCGGAACCGGTGGAACTGGACCGGAACCGTTTAGAACCGGCCGGTTCGGTTCCAGTTCTTCTAAAAAATAATTTGGTTTCGGGACAAATTATTAAGAACTGATCGATTTCAGTCCGGTTCTTGGTTCTAGTATGGGAACCGCGGGGAACCGAACGGTTCTCATACAATTTTTTTTAGTGGGCATTTTTTTCTTTTCTGGTAAAATATAAGACTTATTCTCCAATTTGTCCCGAAACCAAATTGGTAATATATGTGACTTACTCTTAAAGTGAAAAGAAACTTCCATCAAAGTAAAACAAAATTAAAAAAAAAAGAAAAATCGTAGTATGACAAGATAAGCAAAAGACAGTGACATATGGAAATGAAATGAATGTTTATGTATATAGTTCATATGTCACTTTTTAATTAAATAATTGAGAAAAATACTGAATTGCGATTACCTGAAGGTTCAAGAAAATGTTAAAAAGGGACCCTTCAGTTGGCATTTTTTTCAGTAAAATATATGACTTACTCTCCAAACACTTTTATTTTGTTTTCATTTTGATGAAAGTTTGTTTAATCATTGAAGTACTAGACGGTTTATATAAGTTAATATTTGTTTGATAATAGTAACTTATATTATTTGCATATTGTTTTAAAATTCGTATACTTAGTTTTCTTTTAATCTTTGTATAATGTGTTCGGTTTTTCTATATTTTTTTAAAAGTATCACATTGTTAGTTTCTTTAGATTTCTTATTAGTAAACATTTTATTTTGACATCTTTATGTAAAGAACCGGACCGTACCGAACCGGAACCGATTGGTTCGGTTCCATAGCTAACAATGAAACCAATGATTCCATTTCTAAAATTCTCATTAGTATTCGGTTCGGTTCCTTTTAGAACCGGACCAAACCGGACCGCGCCCACTCCTGCAAAAATGTACCTCATGAATAAGGCTGCACGTCTCTTTTCATAAATATGCAAACTTTGTGTTGTTTTATCATGTTATTGAGAAGCTACCGGTTAGACATGTATAATTTCATTTATGTGTCTGGATCTGCTGCGCTATATTGATGGGAAGTCATCAGTTCTTGTGTTAAACAGATTAGAATCTCCTATATGAAATTACCCTTTTCAACACTCATTTTTTTTGAGCCTGTAATCTTTTTTATTCTTTTTTTCTTCATTTGTAAAATGTTTTATTACTTTTATTGAAACTGATTTCACATTTACTTGTTCCAGGTACAATTGGTCCACAAAATTTGAATTACGTGGCTGATATCGTGCAGAAGCAGCGAACTGCTCCAATAAGTGAGTTTGAGATCTCACGTGATAATGCCACCAATACATGGCATGTGGATGGAGCAGGCTTGCAACGTTTTGTCCAAATGACGAACTGGAGGTATAATCTCATTCTTTTCTGTTTGATCTTTTCTGATAGCACCTTTCCCATTATTTTGTACCAGTGTTTAGGCTTGCATCCATGTGGAAAATGGTAATGGAACTGTGAATCAGATTAAGAGCTGTTTAGCTAAGCTTGAAAAGTTTACTTACAAGTAAATAGGAAAGTTGTAAAAAAATCATAATCTTTTTTATTGTTTAAAGTTAAAAATCAGGGAGTTACTTATTTTGACACTACTGTAAGACTTACCTCCTAAATAAGTAGCTTTTTTACTTCATAGTGAGAAAAACTCAACATATCGAAACATATTTAGAAATATAAAGTAACATAAATATAAAAAATACCTTCTTTTAAGCTTAGCCAAACATGCTATAAAGCAAAGACAATTTTTTAGCCTTTATGTACTTATATAAAATTCTGAAGTTAAGGTCAGTCGAACTGTAGTTTATTGGACATGCTGATTAAATTAGGTGAGACAGTTTTTATATGAAAATACCCGTTCCAAGCATATTCATTTTGCAGTCGTAGATTTTCACTCAATCTTTATCAAGTACAGGGCTTGAACTACCAAATTTTTTTTTTATTTATTCTTCTTGTATTTTTCCTTTGTATTAGATATGTAGATTCCGAGCGAAGATTTCAACATGTTCTGGAGGCATGTGGTGTGAATAAGTCCCTCATGAAACTTGGCGTTAAGGAGGGTGACACAGTCATTGTTGGTGAGGTGTGTTTAAATTACTTCTTAATTTCCCTATCTTTGCATTTTGAATCTTTCATAACCTTTTCCTTTTTTTTTCTGGGTTGCCTTTTGATGGATCATGATGTGAATCTGCAAATATGTTTGGTTATGCTTAAAAGAAAAAGTTAAAAGTAACTTTTTGTTTCCAAATATATTTGGCTAAAAATTACACTTTTTCTTACTTTCAAGTAAAATAAACAACCTTTTTTTCCAATTTTGATCAATAAAATTTTTTTATTTTAAAACTTAATTATTTCCTTAAACTTTTTAAGCTTACCCTCTATCATGGGTGGAGGAGAAGATTGATAGGAAAGATTGCCATTGCTTCTCAAATAGGATATTTTTATCCAACTCGTCTCTTCTTCCTAGAAATCTAAGCCTTGTCATATGTTTCTTGATTCGTACTAGATGGAGTTGGTGTGGCATGATTCCCCAAATACTTCCAGCCCCATAAGTAGGAAGAAGTGGGCATCAGATTCCATCAATTGACATTATCTGTCATCATCATTCGTCCTCAAAATTCCCAAAGTTCTACTACTAAGAGATAAAGGTATGACTTTGTTGTTCGCTTTAAGAATGCTGTTTATATACTCACAGTTTGAAATTCCAAAAAGAGGAAGAGTTCGAATTCTTGAATTATCCGACGTAGTCCAAGATCCGACATTTCATTCGTATGGACTGTGAAGATATTCCACGCCATAACTTAGCAGATTTAGAAATAATTTTCATTTAATAAAACATTTTTGTTTTCAGAGTTGGATGGAATTTCATTTTCCGCTGTTCTTTTTCCTTTTCTTTTCAGAATTTAAACTGTAGGAGTAATGTTCGCGCTCCATGTCCAGCACCAAAGACATGGAACCCAGTGAACATAAAATTATCGTATCTAGGACAAAGGTAGTCAAGCAAATCATATGATTATGCTTCCAGTTTTTGGAGTGAATCGATCTCATCTTCGATCAGAGCAGTCAGCATTTGCTACAGGCATTGGCAGCATAGACGACGTGTAATTTTTCTGATAGAAACATTAGAGAAGTACCTTATATGCTATGGTGCTTTCTTGTTTTCTTGGTCAGTTCACTTCATTACATTCTTTTACAGTGAATAAAATGTTACTAGGTTACCCTTTCCTATTGTGAGTTCAGGTTTGGTATATCATACACACTTCTTACCCCCACAATGATGGAATAGACACTATTTTAGTCAAGAACTATCATAAAAGGCATGAATTGTAATGAATGAGTTGACTCTAAGATCAGAGGCATTTAGATCAGCACAAAATAAGTTACTTATAATTTAAAAATTTCAGTCTGCAAAATTATAGCAAATACCTCATTTTGTTATGATTAGTTGATCATGTTGACTGATTATTCTCCAATATTCACTCAATCATTTTAAATATTCTTTTGGTTGGGAACAAACACCAATAAAATACTTCATATGATATCGAATTCAAGATTTCGCTTAAAATGTAAAATGCGAGTACTTTAGGATCTCTATGAGCTTGACACGATTTGGTATGTTAACATTTCAATGGCTCAATAGCCAAGTTCACCCGTTTGATTGAAATATTCATAATCCATCTTGGAAAATATGTTATTTTGGAATTCGGGTTCTATGATTGATTCTTAAAGATCATTCCATTTCAACATGAAAATCTCGTATACTCTGTATCTTGGATCTAAGAACTTGTTTGAGCCTTATTGTTATTGAAGAATGCATTTTGAAATAATAGATTGATGGAGAATGTGTGGTTAAAAAAGACAGAAAAGTTTTGGATTTATGTGTAATATTATTCTATTGAAGAATATGCGATTGAAAAAAAGAAAGAGAAATATATTTCGAAAATAAACAAGGGCTAAAATAAAACAAATTAGATGATTCCCTTTCGACAGTTTGAACCTGTGCGAGTAGTGGTGAATGTAGCTGAAGCAAAAAAGATAACACGTGCTATTCAGTCAGTCTTTCTTTAAACCTCAAGACAATTTTGAACAGGACAACCTTTTGAACTATCGCTGAAATCAAAGAATTTCGAATTGCTGATTAATCGACAAAAATAGCTTAGAATCAATAGTTCATGTAACTTCAAATTCTTTGCGTCAATGAGGTGAAGTCCGTACTATTATAAAACAGTGAATCAAATTTTTAAGCAGATTGAATGAAGTCGAGACCAACATCTTTCGGTGGGACTTGTCTAGAGTATTGGGGACTCTTTAAAAAAAAAGAAGATTAAATCTTAACCTTAAGGATTCCCTACCACCCCTACCCTGGAGTATCGTGAGGGAAGTAAATCGCAGGTTATGCCTCCAAGGGTATAGGGTGGAAGGCTGTTTGTACACTTGCACTTACCCAAGAGTCAAATCCATATTTTAGGATTCGAACTCTTAACGCAGCAGCCTCAAGCAAAGCTATTGGGACTCTTTAGAAATGATTCTTGCTGGTCAAAGACATGAAAAATCTAAAAAAACAATAAATTTCGGTCCTGTCAAAGTCCTAGTCCTTAGTCTTAGAATGTAATAATCATTTTCCCTAAATTCCGGATTGCCTTAAAAATAGTTAAACAAAAGTTTGGGGAACAATTCTGATTGTTCTCACAGAAGCTTTTTCTCACAGAAGAAAATCAGAAGTCTCACAAAGGGTCGACTCTACTACGGGACCAGATGTAAAAAAAAATGACAACAGAAATTTCGACTCCACCCATATGTGAGACCTCTGTAAGAAGTCTGTGAACTGAGGTTCTCTACCCTCAGCTCGATTGAAGTTTGTGCATATTTTAGGAGAATGTGCAAAATTCTACTCTGGCCAAAACCAGTTTCTCTCGTCAGGATTTGGGTGGCCAAAAAATATATAAAAAATCGACTTTATCTCAATGGTCTCATACTTTGTTCAATGTTAGCTCAGTTAGTTAGAATTTTAGAATTTAAAAGTTAGAATTGCAGGAAAAAAAAAAATAAAAAAAAATTACTCTCTTCACGTATAGACTGAATTTATATTTTATTGAAGGTCTAACAAACACAATTTTAGTGTAAGGCATGTCTTAATATATATAGCAAAAAATTTTACTTATGAAAAACTTGTTTAAATAAATGTGGCAATGAGCTCAAAGGAATAAGATTACACCGTTGACATCAAAATTGCCTGTAAAAGTGGGGAAAAAAAAATCCCGATTAACGGTCGACAGTTCAACTTGAGGTCAAATTCAGAGCGTGCCTTCGTGTGCTCGTTTTTACAAAGTTTTTTAGCATATAACTAATAATGGAATTCACAGTTTTATCAAAATTTTCAATCATATATTTCATTAGCTTAAAAGCTACAGCAAGCAATGTGATAATAATCTCGCCTTCAGTATTCTTCTTCTCTTTCTTCCAAATTATTTTTCAATAAGTCATATGGAATTTTGAAAAGCTAAAGACAAAAATGATTTGACATGTTTTGATCATTACTGATGAGTTATGCTGTTTCCAATGCCATTTAGGCATGTGAAGTTTTAATTAACAACGAAAAAAAGCTAAAAGCATCCTATTAGAAGTACTTAAATATTTAGACTAATAATGCCCACTAATAATTTCTTGTTTAGGCAATTTGATTATATTTTGACCATAGCCTTTTTTTTTTTTTTAGTTACTTTTTAATACAAGGCGCTGCATGATGAGTCATGACTAGACTTTCTCAATAACATATTTTTAATAATTTTACAATTAGAAAAAGAAAAGAAACTAATATATTTTTAATAATTTTACAATTAGAAAAAGAAAAGAAAATCTATCGAATTTCACTTTTTGAAAAAATCATAATTGGATTATAATGAAAGGAAGTAGCAGTTTTACGTTATTAAAATTAATATTTGATTTTGACCTATAAATTATATGAGGAATATAATTCTCTCAAACAAAATGTAATAGATAAATACAACAAGACGTGTTAATTTTGATCCATTCCTCCCTCCTAACACGTTCTACTGAGAATGCACTCTTATAAATAGAAGCCTCTTTGTATCTATCGAAAACATGTCCTGATCACTTACGTCGTCGTTCCCAAATTTATTCTTCATCAATACTACCTTGTTGACATATTTTAGTATGACCATTGATTCATCTTAACAAAATGATTTCACTAAAGTATTTTGTTTGTTTAATACTTCCTCCAATCAAATAATTTTTTTAGCAACTAAAATATTGCATCAAAAATATTTACCCATGTTTGGTACAAATTCTTTAAACTCATATTTTCTGAATAAAATAATTTTGTAAGTGAATCCATAATTTTCCTTACTTTTTAACCACGTATTCTAAATAAAATTATTTTCTCCAAAATCTATTCTTAGAATCCCACCATGTGAGGAGGGTGGATACCATTATGAATACCCTGATATATGTGTAGCACCACCCTTCATTTAATATCAACATTCTACTGAATAATATTTTACCCAAGTTTAAAAAATAAGAATTTCAATTTGCATTTTGTTTCTTAGTAAGTTTTAAAAGTTTACATGTTCGACTAACCTTAAATTTTTTTCTTAAAGTAATTAAAAAAAAGTAATTTTTAAAATAATTATTTTTTAATCCCTTTATAGGCCAGTTGCTGTATCTTAATACTCATTTGGATTAAAGAAAATTCTCAACCGCTCCCTTTGAATTATGAAGACGACAAGAAAAATACCATAAAATGTTAACAATTTATTTGCATGGAATGCGGATTAATCATGTGACATATCAGACTTATTACAAGAATAATACAAAGAGTAATCATTAAATAATTATTCAATTATTTCAATATCTCAAGAAAAATATAGACAAAAAATATGTCTGCCATTTTCTCTTCTTTCTTTTTTTCTAATATATTTCACTGCTCAAATTTTTAAATGTTCTTTTATCAATCCCAACATTCTTTCTGAACCCAATTTTAAGGTCATTATGAGTGCAATTTTGCAGTAATAACATGCAATGAGTCTAATGATGATTATGATATTTTAGTTAAAGAGAGAAAATTTTGTTTAAGCCTTTCAATTTTAAGGACATGTTTATAGTGTCTTAAAATTGAGATCACTATGGTTTGCTTTGATAGTAACTCACATTTATAGTAAAGAAAAGATAAGCTAAGTTAATGTTTGGCTCATGTTTATAAACGATTTATAAACACTCAAATTATTTATTATTCACACGTTTTGAAGGACTCGAAAATACTGCTCACTTATCTTACGAACTAATTTCTATCCATTAGTAATTTAAAGTTAAACACTTCTCAAACATACTTTATACTGTCTACTACCACATGTCATGTTTATGATTGTACGAGACAAAACAAAGTTTCTCGTCTATTTCTTATCCTAAATAATCCAGCATACAAACATCCAATGTCTCGAAATCGAAACCATAATGTGTTGTAGCGTGAACTAGGCAACAATTTTTGATAAAAAAAAAATTAGAAAGAAAAAATATTTCTATCTATTGTCAAATCATGTTCAATATTATGAATTAAATACAAACTTACGAGATTAATATTATTTAACACCAGTTTAGATAACAATATTTATAACATTAAATTATTAGCTCAATCGATTT